CTGCGCACAGTTTTGATAAGCACATTTATCATCTCGCCTTTGAGAGTGAATTTAAATGTTGTGGTAACTCACCCCAGTGCAGCTATTCGTCTCCCCCTGCCCCTCCCAGTTTCATCTCCTGCTAGCTGGAAGAAAGATTTCTGCATAAAACAACCAGAGCGGGCCAAATCTGCACTCTGCACGAACTGCATATTTAGATCATGATGCATCGATCCCCATGATTCACATGGTTCTGTCATTTTACACTCAATTTAAAATATGTTACAGCTCGGGAATCCACAACACATTTTCTGAGACATGAAAAAAAAAAGAAAAGGAAATCATGGAAACTCAAAATCAAACCAGCGTAGCAGTCCAGAGCGGGCACTGTCACTTGGACCGCATGCTCAGTTTTTGAAACACTTCAAAGAAAATCAGGACTTTGCCCAAAAACCCACAACATGACTCCCCCCGCTCTCCCGGCCTTGCAGTTCCCAGGAGGAAAGGAAAATGTGGATTCTCAGAAGTAATACTCAAAAGAAATATACACACTATGAAGCAGAGTGAGAAATACATATTCCAGATCCACGAGTAAAACCCAAAGTTTAGATCCAGGCCTTTTTTGTTTGACCCTGCAGAGATGCCAGGGGGTCCAGAGGGATTGGCAGGTTTACAGTTGGGGGGGTTAATGGGGCTGTTGGGAGATCGGGGGTGTTTGCTTTGTAAAGAGCCACCTCCTGAAAGTCTTAAACAAAGAAGTTGCTGTGTGACAGTCCAGAAGAGGCTTCCCAGTCACTGTATGGGCCTTTGTAATCACCACAAAAGAACATACCAACAGAGTAAGTCCATAACTCATCCACACAAACAAGCTCTGATGTCGGTAAATGAGGCTGAACTCCAACCCCTGAAGGGTGAGACTTGACTTTTTGTGGTTCGGCTTGATGAAGGCAAACAACGCAGCTGTTTGCTGATGAGAGGCTGGAAAGTTGCGAGATGCTTCGTCCGAGGCTGGAGCTGGAGCTTCTCGTCGAGTTTTTCGAAAAATGGAAAATGTCTTGATGGATATCTTTCGTGGCAAGTTTTTAGCGGTCATGTCCCATTTATGCCGCTGGGTATTTGTGCAATCACTTTGGTGTAACTCAACTGTGATGACAAAAGTTTGGGACGTCTGTTGGATTCAAAGCGGCTGTGAGACATTTCAGGTCACTGCGAGTCATTTAAGACGTGTTTGCTGAGGCAGAGAGTTAGAGCTGTGAAACAGATTTAATGTCTTAAATATCAAAAATGAAATAAACATCAACGGCCTTCACAAAGCACAGCGCATAAAACCTCTTTAAGCTTCAACAGAGTGTTGAAGTCAGAGCCCTGCAATCATTAAAGCCGCTGTAGGGAGTTTTTTAGCAGGTTATAAAACAGATTGAAATGGAAATAAACAACTTTTTAATACCCGCAAAAGCAAACAAGACTAAGAACATGATGATGGACTTTTTCTAGAAAGAGATTTTTAATGTTTAAAAGCTACTTTATAAACATAACAACAATTGACTTTTTTAATGGACTTAACATCATCCATTTCTAATGATGCTTAAAGTCCTGTCTGCACACTATCATCTTCTGTCATTACTAATTCCCCTTTACTTTACAAACTCCAAAAACTCCCACACGAGCAGGGAACCTTTTAGATTTTCATCTGTCACGATTTGTGCAACAGTAGAAACCACAAGATCAGGTATGAGAAGAAGTGTCTTCTTCTGCTGTAAGTGCTCAGTCTTTGTCTTCCCTTTGTCTTATGGTGGGTGGCATCCAGCTGAGCCCGAAGTTACCTGGTGTTACTGTATACTGTGCACTAACAATAGCTTAAGAGGACACTTGTAGACAGTAGTTTAAGACAGTATTGCCACAGCTCTATCACTGCACTTTACTGTAACATTTGGAAACTGTGCTCTGTGTCGGTATTTGTCAACAAAGGCCCATAAAGAGGCTAACCCGGGATTTCCATCGCATCCGGAACGACGGCGATTTTGCCGTACGCCAATGCCTACTGGATCCGTTTGTGAGGCGAATTTTGTGGCGGATTACGGACAGCAGGAATTACGAGAACTCACAAGAACCCACGGATTCACATGCAATCATGCGATAACAAGTTGTCTTTAGCCACATAGGCTAACCATATAAGCAGTAGATTGTGTCCTTCAAGAGAAGTAAATCTACTTCTAGACTTAAAAAATCATCCATGGTGTCATCGGGGTGAAATGCTGTCTATAACCCTTCCACTTGTTCGTCCCCGCCCGTTTGCATGGTGTGAAATACGAGCCACCTAAAACACTGAGATTTTATTATGAAAAGAAGACGGATGTTTTATTTTGTGTCTGTGCTCGACTTCCTTTCCAGCATGGGTTAATCTGTGCTGAATTTATCCGGCGTGCTCCGGTGTCCAGAGAAAATGGAACTCTTAAGATCAGCTGCGGAGTTTGGCGACCCGCAGTGGTTTGGAAAAAGCCAGTGGAAATTGACACATTAACTTGAATGGTTACAATCAGCTACAACGGATACGGCCTTTTCGTAGCCATTCCGGATGTGGTGGAAATTAGGGGTAAGGCTAATCATGCTAAATGGCTGTTATGAGATTTTTCCTACCAATGGATTACAGAATGTAAAGTCTCATAAATATCTGTGACAAACCTTTTAATTTTGAACCAAATTTTGGATTAAATCTTAATTCTAGTTGGGTTTTTTTCTTACTGTTTCGTATGCAGTCTATCACTCAGGACAGAGCCCTGGATTTTGGGTTCCAGTTGCTTCAACAGTCACAGTATTCAATCTCCTTTGTCATTTGTCTCCAGAGAGATTTCTACATGATAGATCTCAAGTTAAATTTTAATTTTTCAGCAGACTTTTTCATGTAAAAGTCTTTTAAGCTTTTGAAGATTTCCATTTTTTCACGGACTCATTCCTCACACACTTACAACAGTGCTTGGGTGGTCGACGTCTTTATGCTGAAGTTGTGAAAATCCCTCTGAGAGGAGACCCCTTGTTTTCGGTCCGTACTTATCAGTGGACGGTTTGACGTGGCTGCCAGAGACCTCACAGACTGCACTTGTTACGAGTGAGAAACCCAGAGGTCTGAGGGAAAACCTTGGCCAAGGCCATCCATGACAGCTGGCACACCACACGGCCTAAAACAATACACAGCGTGTCCCTCCTGACGGCCATCAGTACACACTCGTACAGTCACGGCATGGGGAAGAACACATGCTCGCCCTGACATCTCCAGACAGCGAAAAATAAACGGACCGATGGGGGAAAAAAAAAAGAAGATGCATAATGAAAACCAGTGGTCTGGGAGAAGGGAAAACTGATCTTCTTCTCCATCGTTCAAAGCCATGGCTACACACCGGGTGTCATTGTGCAATAAAGATCTCCCAGTCGCTATTCACCAGAGACCCTGCCATGTGCAGGCTCCCTAAGTGTCATTGGAGAGTCAGCGCCAGGGTCATGAAAGCACTCGCTGCAGGTCATTAAAATGCCTTAGAGAATATGGGATGCTTATCAAATAATATGAACCACATTGCTCCATTTTTCCCCCCCCCCTTTGTAAACGGGGAGTGGTTGTGGGGTAGATATCTCTACCTTTTCAAGTCTTTGAAGTCCGGGCACTTAAACAAGCGCCTGGGAAAGTGGAAAACTTTTAACGCAAGAGCAGAGGAGTGCTGCTGGCTTCTGCAGGGGTCATGACCTGGCTACGCTTTTTGCTGTCTTGTCCCTCATTGGAAAAAAATTTGTGTAAAAGTACACATACCTGCACGTGTGTGAGCACAGCTTTGAAAATATTTCACTGCGTAAATTACCCACAACTCTTTTTTTTTGTGGCTAACAGCTGAAAACACTGCCTCTAAAGAGGGCCATCAGATGCCCAGTAAAAATACCAATCATCATCTCCTCGTAGAACAAAGAGGTGGACAGTCAGAGGGAGGAGGATTTTCCATCATGGTCTGTTTTTTTCCAGGCTTCATAAGTCCAGCTGATTTAACAAGAGGAGAATACCGGAACAGCCCATCACTGAGGAATCTGTCAAAACAACTTTGTCTAATTCTTACCATAGTGAAGTCAAGCTATAGAAAAAACATACAACTATAATTCTGACATTTTCCTCATGTTACGAGACGTCAAAATGTGTCCATTTTTTTTTACAGAGTTATGTGACATATGGTCCCTTTGAAGCCGATGGAAAAGAGATGCAAAGTAGTAACAGATTACAAGCTATTGTTTGAAAAACTTAGCAATAGCGGGACACAGGTCTTCCTAAATCCAGCTGGGATAATAGTGGTGAGACAAAACGGGGGGGATATTTTGGCACAGGAATGGAAAAGCATGCCTTCGCTATTCAACCATTTTATAAAACGGACTAATGTTTGAGAGGTTTCATGTAATATGAATTAAAATGGCAGATTATACCGATCCGAAAGGCATCTTTACAGAGTCTGTTTGTATTTAGGATCAGACTTACAAAACAAGTTTCTTCATACCATCTTTTCGTACTCCTTATCATAAACTAAAGGTGCATATAGAATTCAGAGTTTACGTCAAGTAGATTAATGCAGTTTGGCATTGGTCGCTTCATTCCTTCAGTTTTATTTATAAGGGCTGTTGTGACTGGAAATGTCACACTAACACCCAGTAAGTCCACCTTTAATTAAACAAATACAGATGTTCTTATTTACAGAAGTTCAACTGACTCTGCTGCAGCATAGTTGGTAACACGCCCCCTTTCAGTTCAGTACAACTAGGTTGTCTCCTGGTTGACTCACTACGCCACGAACCGAACAATTGACAAATGCGTAGCTAACAGGATAAACATCACTTTTACAGCTCAAGGAAGAACATTTATGATCATTTCTTCATGGAAACCCAATCAGACCGAGACGCTAAGGTAGAAGAACTATCATAAATGTTCTTCCTTGAGCTGCGTCACCCCACTGTAGTCCGTAATAGACTGGCCTGAGGTCTCACTACAAGCAAGCGGCTGCTGGAAGAGAGTAGGTGAGTTGTGTTTAGTCTCTTTGCGAAAGAAATTAGTCAAAGTTAAAAAGATGTTTGGTGGCTAGTGCTGTGACTGGGACCCTGTATGTACTGTTGATGAAGTTAGGTGCTGTTCTGAGCATTATTTGTGGCTATAGAGTGGCGTTTTTGTTGAGGTTTGTTTATGGCTCCTCAGACCACTGTGTATTGCTATTGTGCGGTCATTACTAAAGTTGGTATAACTAGAGAAGCAAGCGGTCGGCAACATTTATCTCTCAAGGGGGTGTCTAACTCGGTGTTACGGTGTGTTTGACCCTAAATTAATTTTACGCCAGAATATTCCTGCAATTTACCCTCCTTTTTCTGTCTGTCAAGGTTTTGGCTCCTTACACTATTCAATTTCCATGTCAAAGCTTGGTTCGTGAACTCTGGAGCATGCCCAGAACGCTTAGTTTCAGTCTGATGGGAGTGCTGCTTGTATCAGTGGAGCTTTGTCGTAGCTAAACATGTTAATTTACCTACACTATCTGAGGCTATTTCTGTATTTGTCCTCCCATCCTTTGACAGTGAAGTTGATGTTTCCATTTTTCAAAATCCAAACCACTCTAATTCTCAGGATACATGTCCTACTTCTATTGAAAACACAGAAGTCTAAACGATAAGTCATCATGAGAGTTGGGAATAAAGTAGCAGTACTTATAAGGGTCGAGTACTTTCTTCTGAGAGGTGAACCATGACTGTAGTTTACTGCATCGGTCACATACTAGTGGAGTGAAGTTTGGGAAGTATTGTTGATTACATAATCCGTCCCAAAAGGGGATTTATATAAAATTGTTCCATCTGACATTTCTGCGCCGCGCATTAGTGACCTAATGCCTGCTGTTTGACTCATGCTCCTCTCTGGATCTTCAGTTTTTTCACCCTGCAGTTTGATCAGGTATCAAGTAAACAGGTCTGGGGTACAGCAGCCTGACGCCGCTGTCTGTCTTTGACATTTCCCTTCTGACGCTCTCAGTCACCCCGCCCTGGAATTCCTCCTGCATGGCTCACACTCCTCTGCTTCGGGGCCGAGCCGGGTCCCCCTGGGGCCCATCTTCGGGAGGAAATTATTTTTCATTGCCCCCAAAACGCTTTGACTCTCGCCAGTTTGGCCCCGTCCCCTGGTTCTACTCTCCAGGTTGTAAGGTTGAGCTTCCCCCTGCCCATAAGGGGGCGGCTGTGAGGTCAGGCCTTCAAGTAAAGCAGGTCACAACCCGGGGCTTGAGTCCTCCTCCACCCTGTTGCTCCTGCGCCTTTGTTCCCTTCACATAAGTGCAGGTTGTATATTATCTTAAATGTACTAACCTGACTTTGCTCAAACAGTAGGAGCAGCTCATCCATCTTCCCCGGGTCCCTGCAGGAACTCTTGTCAAGCTTCTTACTTTTGTTACAATCCGAGCAGCCGCCACAGTGGTTTACTGTCAAACCAGGGTTTCATGTTGTGTTATTAAACTTTGTGTTCCTCGTGGTTAACTTTTGGGAGCGGGACGGCCTCACCAAAAATATTTCACTTCAAATCATCCCAAGTGACTGAAAATACATTTTTTTGTGTTGTTGTTGTGGTTTCCACTTTTTGAGCCACACAGAACATTAAAAACGTTTGTTTTCCACCATTTTTGCTGCAGCTGAATTATAACTTTTCTGATGTTAATCCAGTAATTAGGAGGTTCGGGTATCCGCTCTAATTCACCGTGTGACAAGTCATGACTTTTGCTTCAAGAATGCAGTGACTCAGAAGTTGGCTAGATGGCTCCAGTGTTTCAGGTGACTCAGCAGGAAATCCACTGACACTCTGATCACAGTCACTTCGTTTTATTCCAAAATGTTTTCGCTCGATTCCAAAAAACACCAAAAAACTACATTTCTCCCACAAGACAGAGAGACAGCGGGGGTGTATGAATGAGGAGAGGAGGAGGAGACAAGGGGCTGAATGGAGCTTCTGTCAGTGTTTTAATAGCATGTTGAAGTTTATAACCATAGATGTACCATCACATGGGACAATTATTCATTTAATATCTTAGCATTCCTCTACATGTATAGTTCTGATTTGTATTAAACATCTTATCAAACCCAGCAGTAGAAAAGTAAATGCTAATTAGCTTTCATTACTTTCATATCTTCATTTAACATAAACAAAACCAACGATGTTAAGCACAAAGCAAAACCATCCCAGTCCAGAAATAACAAAATCTGTAAATTAGTTCAAGTTCCCTGATTAAAATGAGGTGTTTGAACATCAGAAAAAAAGGTTGTAAAAATGTAGAGTTGATGTTTTTATAAGAGGAAGGGGAATTTTTGTGAAGGAGGTGACTTCCTTGAAGATACAGTGTGTAAAAAATGGAGTATTCAGTGATACCTATAAATCATATTCTAGTTTGCTCACTCCTCCTTGTCCAGAAGTAACAGTGGCCTTCTCTGATAAGAAACTATACATTTTCAGTGAGTATGTATAACGCTTGATCAAAAATTTTATTTTGCAGACAGCAGCCTCTCTCCTCTTCTTCTAGCGTGACCTCAGGCCAATCCATTACAGACTGCTGCGGGGTGACACAGCTCAAGGAAGAACATTTATGATCATTTCTTTATCATTTCCTTGAAGTAATAATCAACATATTAATCATTTTGCTCTGCAGACGCGGTAGTTCTTCTGCTTAGCGTCTCGGTCTGATTGCATTTCCATGAAGAAATGATCATAAATGTTCCTCCTTGAGCTGCGTAACCCCGTCTTGCTACAAACAAGCGGGTGCTGGAAGAGAGTAGGTGAGTTGTTTTTAGTCTCTTTGCAAAAGAAATTAGTCAAAGTTAAAAAGATGTTTGGTGGCTAGTACTATGGCTAGGACCCTATATGTACTGTCGATGAAGTTAGGTGCAGTTCTGAGCATTATTTGTGGTTATAGAGTGGCGTTTTAGTTGAGGTTTGTTTATGGCTCCTCAGACCGCTGTGTATTGCTTTCGTGCGGTCGTTACTGAAGTTGGTATAACTAGAGAAGCAAGCGGTCGGCAACATTCATCTCTCATTGGAGTGTCTACGGTATGTTTGACCCTAAATTAATTTTACACCAGAATATCCCTTGACAGTTTAAGTAACTTCTGCAAGACAAACGTCTCTGCTTGGGACAAAGAAACACTCGCTGTTCCCCTTGGTATCCAATGTTTATCCTAAGCTAAAGCCAGCAGCAGTTCACACAGCTGATAAAGCCAGTGAAGAAGTGTGAAAACTGCCATACCAAGCAGGATAAAACATGTTAGCAGTCTGGTGTAAAAAAAAAAAAGATTGATGTCTGTTCTGGTTACTTCTTATTTGTTAAGGTTTATTTTGTCCGACAGCTTCAGAAGTCCAATGGGTGCTATCTTTATATCTTATCAAGCTTTTATCTTTCTTGGATAGAGTGTCTTTGTCTATAGGAAAAAATGGAGGTGATAAGTGGAGTCTCTCTGCAGGAGTTAAATAAAAAGAAAAGATGGTAGTAACTCAGAGGTTGAAGAGAAGAAATGGTCCTGAAGCCAAGACAGAAGCTCCTGCGGTGTCTGGCAGAGCGGGAAAGAAACCTTGTGGTCTTGGGTGTCTTTTTGATCGCTCTTTCTTAAATCTCTGCTTGATTGTTTCCTTTCCTTGTCTTCCTTGTCTCTCTAACTTTCTTCGTTCGCTGCTCTGATAATTTTTTTTCTCATTCTTCCCACTCCTCTCTTCCTCATCCAAATGCGGCAGCAGAAACACAATGAATCATTGATACTCATTTTTCTCTCATGGATGCATTTTCCAGCTCCTGGGAATCTAATTTCCTGTTTCTGCTCCTGTCAACTGATTGGTGTTTATGTTTAGCAATCTGTTTCTTATAACCTGTCTGTTTTCGAGTCTTTATTCCTTCTCTGTCCTTTCTTGCCATTGTCTATATGAATGCTACGAGATTAAGCCTATTCAAGGATAAACAGTTTAAGTCCTTGGCAGCAGTTGAACCAGTTAGAAGGTGGGAACACCTACAACATAAGCCTTTGAATCCAATCCAAACATCGTATTGGGGATGGGGTGTGTGTGTGGATCTGAGGTGGGGTTTTCTCAAAGGAAAGAGAACATTACTCCTGGATGAAGTCAACTTCTTCAATCTAGACTGTGAGGTTAAGAAGTTGACCTGATGTTATTTTAGATTACACAAAACCCCCGCTCATTTGACATTTGAATAAAGGAGTCCAAACTGTACGTTTACATGACACTCGAGAAAACCGAATTATTGCCTTACTCTGATTAAGACCGGACAACTAAAGTGCATGTAAACACCTTAGTCCGACTATATTCAGAGTTTGAACTTTGATTGGAGTTGGAGAACTCTGATTAAGACACCCAGATAATGCAATTGGAATTTGATTTTCTCTACCATGTAACCAGCGTAGTTGGAGAATGATCAGACAATGCATGTGCCCCCATAACCCCGGAACAAATACACCAGAGAAGAAGTGGCGCTATCATTTAAGGAACTTTTGACTCAGAAGCAACTGCAACATGGCTGAAGCACGAAAGAATGTCTGCCTTTGGAACGACGAGGAGAGTGCTATGTTTTCCCTCCTAAAAGAAATGGACATTTTAAAGTTTATGGACGGTCGCAAAACGAGGAACGGAGACATCTTTAAAAAAGGTCCAGTAACAGCGCAGCTGAAAAGATCCATATCGCCCCCTAGTTTTAGAATATTGACACATTCACGTCAATATTTGGATTTTCTCATCTGCATGTATACGCGGAAAAAAAACGAATGATGGGCTCAGTCCGATTAAGCTGTCCATGTAAATGCACTGACTGATGCATAAAGTGGGAATCCTCTTGGAAAAAACGACCGAATGAGACAAAAGGCAGATGCATATCTGACCCACTCTCATCCCATCCTCAATCACATGAGTGTAAGTGACAGTGTGTAGAAAAACTCACTATAACGGGTAGAAACCTCGAACAGAACCAGACTCATGTTAGACAGTCATCTGCCGATATCTTTAACTTTTGAAAGATGAGATATTTTTCAGAACTACCCCATGTACTAGACAAGATTTGCAAGGAGATTAAATGTACCACTCCGTCCGCTGGAGTTGCTAACTTTGATGAAATCCTTCAGGTTTTCATTCATACTTTGTTGAAGTTAGCTAAGCATCAACTCAAGATGCAGAAGGAACATCTAGTCCAGCTCTATGAACTATAAAATAATCTGCTCATTGGTTATCCCTCCCTGATTCAAAAACTGAAATAAACAGCACCTGCCTGTTGCTTCAGCGATCAAATTCAGCAGTATCTCCCTAAAACCAGAAAAACTCCATTGTGCATGTAAAACAGGAAAGTCTGCGTGCAATATTTCAAGAGTTTAAGCTCATACCACTTGTCAGAGTTTCATTCTTTGGTGCCATTTTGAAACGAACATGGGGTCTCTGAGGTGGCGCCACAGGCGAGGAAGCAGGCGTAACAGCCAGGAATGTGCCCCCACTTCTGCAAATGGGTCGTAACACTCGCACTGTTGCTGTTCTTATTTTCGTCACTTTTTTTCTGATTTTGCGATGCGGAAAGCTCAGGACTCATTTCTAATGTGTGATGTCTGATGGTATGATTTGGTGCAGAGCAGAGGAGAACGAGGGGGGTGTTCTCTCCCCCCACTGCAACTGTCAACTTGCAAATCAGCCTCTCATGGAAACCAGACGTTTAATTGTTCTCAGATGCCGAGGCTTTTGGTGTGACTTTGCTCCGCTCTAAGGTTGGATTAATCGTCTGACGTTGATTAAAAATGCTCGCACGCCTCGCAGGCTTGAAGTCTGACTGAACGAGGGGGCAGATTGGGCTGAGGTCAAATATTCTTAGCGCAGATAGGAAAGAATTACTCAGGATTGTTTGAAACCATGAGAAATAAACACACGCATTGGTCTCAGTGTTTGATAAGCTGTCAATCAGGCAAAGTAAACTTAATGGACTTTCAAATATTTGCATGTTATTGTGAGGCATCTGCTTTCTGTGTGGAGTGAAAGAAACAGAGAAATCTATCGATCCATCCGTCCATCCATGAAGTTTTTCTTCAACATCCAGAGAGCGATTGGTGAGTGGCGGCATCTTGTATGGCAGCTGTTACTGTCCTGCTGACTGTCACAGCAGCAAAGTCCCTCAATCATCTATCTGAACCTGAGTGTGTTTTTATAAAGTCATCAAATCAGACTGAACTTTGAAGACTTCCTGATTACACGGAATTGACCACATATATGAGATGAAGTGACATTAATCCACCATGTTAGTGACAGTGATCAGTTAACAGCTGGGTTTAATCACAAACTGGTTCATTTAGTTTACTTTTAGTTTTATTTGATAAATATTCATTAAGAATGCATCTTTTCTCTGTGTTTATTTTCCAAGGCAACTGAGCGTTAATGATTATATTCAGCTTCTCGATGAGATTGCAATTTTATTGATGAGATCTTTCCATCAACAAAACTGCCAGTTACGGGGGCGAAATCTGCCGCTGATAATTATAATATTCTTGATCCACTTTGTGCTGTCGGTGAATCTACGCAGTGTTTTCTCACTTGCAAAAGGTTTGTTTTCTGGGTTTTTACTGCTGCTGCTCTCCCCACCTTGGTTTTTCATGTATTGATATGAAACTGAGGGGAGGTGTGCGCTCGCCTCTGCAGGCTTTAGCATTTCATGCTAAGCAGGGACCGCTTACCGGCAATTTCCACCCCATCCGGAACGGCTACGAAAAGGCTGTATCTGCCGATCATAGCTGATCGTAACCATTCAAGTTAATGTGTCAATTTCCACCGGCTTCTTTCCATTCTGCTGCGAACAACTGAAAGGTTTTTAGACGTCATTTCACCCCGATGACACCATGGATGAGGAGATGCTGATTTTGTAGATTTCCTCCTCTGGAAGGACACAATCTACTGCATATATGGTTAGCCTGTGTGGCTAAAGAAACTTGTTATTTCGCCATTGCACGTGAATCCACGGATTCTTGTGAGTTCTCACGATTCCTGCTGTCCGTAATCCGCCACGAAATTTGCCTCACAAACGACCTGGTAGGAATTGACGTACGGCGAAAATCACCGTCATTCTGGATCGGAAACACTGTTGTTGTGATCACGTGGGCTCTGTATGATGGATCTTGGCCCTGCTGGATAGAGGTGCCAGAGCGGAGTCTGGAATGGACTGCTTGTATCGGAGTGCTGATATTGTAGATTTTAGATGCAGGCCGATATATTCCGATATTTGATTTTTTTCTGATATCGGACCGATATCCAATATCAATATCGTATTGGGACACCCCTTGTAGAAACACAACCGGGAGACAAGTAGTTACGAGCAGAATGGGGTGTTTCACTACCTACCATGGCAAAGGAAGACATGCTTCTGTCAATTCATCTCCATCACTCCATTAACCATCCATCATTGATTTATTAATTCACACACAGATCCTAAAACTGTTCAAACTACATCTTCATATTTGTCCCCCTGTGGTTTGAGACGCTGTCAGATGAACAGCTGGTTAGGTGGGTGTGTCCCCTGAAAATTCCAGGTCTTAAAAAACTCTCCAAGTATGATCAAAACTCACGAATCTTTTTGCTGTTTTTATTCAGTCAGTATAGATCATGTGAGCTTGTGAACCGCCGGATGGAAATCAATCATGATCCTCACGTCGTGAAACTCAATCATCGGCCCTTTTCCCTGCAGCATTTGGTGGACCATTCAAAAAGTCCGTCAATCATTTCTTGATCGTTCCCAAGTCAGCTTCTACTCTTACGTCTAAGCTCGGCCAATTCATTTCAGTCGCATTGGACTTCTTAAGTTTCGAGATCCGTCCACTGACTGACCAGGTTTCATCTCCGGAGAAGCAGTTTTGATTCCTCTCCAGTCTGCAGGTTTGGATTGATCGTGCCAAGAGCTTTGGGAGAAATAATAGAGCCATCTCTTTAATATCATTTGGGACCTGTTTGG